TGAAGCGTTGCTGTGCTGAGCCTGGGGTCACATGCAGCTGAGCCGCCAGATCAGAGAAGGTGCGCCGGAAGCGGGTCTCGAACTCATCTCCAGCTGCCCGCATGGCTTGGTGCAGCGGGTCAGCTGCTGGGCCCTCCCCGGGGCCAGCTCCACAGACATAACCCTTCTGCCTCAGCTTATAACCTACAAAGTCTGCCACCAGAGCCCGTGTGTCTGGGGCCGAGGCTGGGGTCGCCATCCGGGCAGCTATAAGAGGCAAGGATGAAACACTGGCATGAATATATGGAGAGAGAATCAGAAGGGGCATTTCTGGTTTGACCAACCCAGTGAGATGAGGAGGAGAGAAGAAATGCTCAGAGCTCACTGGACAGGGAGAGGCAAGAACAAGGGAATTAAGTCATGATATGAGACCAGGCTGTGAGGGGCTGGCCATTACATTCCTAATATGCCAAATTACATTTAAAACAAGTACATTTTCTGTTTAGAGATACTTTAGATTCTTTTCATAATAAGACAACGTCAGCTCTGTGACACCCCTACAACCCTCCCACCCCTGGGCCTCCTTAGTCCACACCTCCTTGGCTAGAGGAAGGGGCTTAGGACCTCCCCAAATGCAAGATATAAAGATGTTGGCAGAGGCACAAGATGAGGGGGAGCAGATGGGCCGAAGAGAAAGGTGGGAGACGCAATGGTTTACTCCAGACAGAGAAAGGAAGGAGACACTCACCCAGCCGGGATGGCAGCTCTTAAGACACAGCACTGGTGGCAAGGAGCCCCCAGCTGGGGCCTTTCATCCTCCCGGCCAGCGTGGAGCTCTGGAAAGGGGAGGGGGAGATCAGAACCAGGAGGGGAAGGCCAGGGATCAGGTTCTGGCCTGGGAACGGCTAGGGTTGCAGCTCTGGGCCTGGGCCCCTGCCCCCAACGCTCTACCAGCTGTGTGGCCGAATCCATGTTTAATGACTGTCCTCCCGGGAAACCCAGGGCCAAGGGCTTCCTGCCGACACCATCTGTATTCGCGGTTCCCCCTAGTGCAGCCCAAAGGCCCAACTCCTCCCTTACCCCCACCTCAGCCAGTCTCCAACCCCGCCCGCCTGCCAGGTTAGGGATCTCACGGGTCAGGCCGCTGCCGGGATCCGGGCCGTTTCCTGGTGCAGGAGCTGGGAGGGAGGGAGAGAGGGAGGAAGGGAGGGAAGGAAGGAGGGAGGAGAAAGGGGGGGCAGAGGGAGGGCCCGGCGCCGGGTGATGATGGGGCCCAAAGATGCGTCCAGAGAGAGGGGCGGGGCTGGGACGCAGGCCTGCGAAGGGCCACTACTCAGGAAGAGGGAGGGCTGCTGAAGGCAGTGAAGGGCTGCCTGAGAGGGCACGGTGGGCTGGGCTGGGCTGGGCTCCTGAGCCTCGAGGCTGCCCAGAGAAATATGCCGGACTTCAGGACATCTTGGGGCAAATTTAGCATTTCCAGGAGGTTTCCGATGTTCCATGCACTTGTTGAACTTTTCCAGCCCTGAATTGTGTGCCTGGAAAACAGGAGCAGTTCCCATTAAGCTGGGAACCGTCTACTAGGTGCCTTACCCTTTTGGGACTAGCAGACACTACACAGACACCAAACCTTTCCCATCTTTTCTCCAGGACCTTTAACCCAGTGTTGTCTTTGTGGGCTGGGCTTCAGCCAGGCATCAAGGAGCCAGGACTTGGATCACAAGCAGTTTCTTCCGGTACTTTTCTTTAATTCATCTTCTTTTGTAATCAGATTGATTTTAGTGGTTTTTTTTCTTTCTTTCTTTTCTTTTTTTTTTTACCCAACACAGGAACTAATTCTCATTGTGAAAAAAATCAAACAATGAAGAGGTATGGAGTAATAAAATACAGGTTCTCAAACACACACACACATACACACCCAATTCCACTTCCCTCCCTGCAGGTTGCCATTGTTAAGCTTGATGTTTATCCTTCCAGATTACATATACATGGGGCCATTATTTATACATGGCAGTATATTTATACAGGGCGGGTCACAGGTGTGAAGCAATCTGACCACAGCTGATCCACATGAGAGCACTCACAGCCAGCCCCCTGGGCTCTTGGATCTGGCACTTTCTTCAGCTCCATTTAAAAAGCAACCCAACCAAAGGCCAGAAAGAGGCGACCCAGTTCTCCTCTTCTGCTAGTACCCTTTGCTTCTACCTCCAAACCAAGCCTCTGTATTACCATCTGCCCTTATGGTCACTTGAGAAGTAAGGTCTTTTCTGCAGCAATAATAGTAACAACTAGCTGGGTTTGGTGGCTCACACCTGTAATCCCAACACTTTGGGAGGCCAAGGCGGGTGGATCACTTGAGGCCAGGAGTTTGAGACCAGCCTGACCAACATGGCAAAACCGCATCTCTACTAAAAATACAAAAATTAGCCAGCCTGTAATCCCAGCTGCTCAGGAGGCTGAGGCATGAGAATCGCTTGAAACCAGGAGGCTGAGATCATGCCACTGCACTCCAGACTGGGTGATAGAACGAGACTCTATCTCAAAAAAAAAAAAAAGTAAAAACATATTTTGAGGAGTTATTAGATGCTGTGCTTTTTTTACATGTATATTTTATCCTGTCACTAATCCTTATGCTGTTTTATCCTCATTCTATGAATGAGGAAATTGAGGTTTGGAGAGGTTAAGTGATTTGCCCAAAGACATATACTGATATGCAAGAAGCTAGGACTCCCATCTCATGCTGTAACTTTGACACTATTGCTTCAAGATCACTTCTTGCCTTCGCATAGTCAATACTGTTTTCATAGTCTGAATCCACACCATTTACATGTCCACACTCAATTCTCTCCTCTATTCTAAACACACAGCCTATTACACTCCTTTATGGCTGTATCCTTTCAGCCAATCTTATTTCTTTTTTGTTCTTAGCCTGATCATTCTGGCTGCCACCAGCAAGCTTGCCCCCTTTAGAGAATAACCTACTCCAAGTCTTCATTTGCACTCCTGGTTTGTTTGTTTGTTTGTGAGACAGGGGTCTCACTCCACGGCCTAAACTGGAGTGCAGTGGTACAATCAGTGTTGACTTCAGCTTCCACCATCTAGGCTCAGGCAATCTTCCTACCTCAGTGTCCCCAGTAGCTGGGACTAGAGGTGTGCTGCACTATGCTTAGCTAAATTCATTTTTTATAGAGATGGGGATCTCATTATGTTGCCCAGGCTGATCTCAAACTCCTGGGTCAGCTTGCTTGTAATACAAAGTAACGTATGATTTATTATACATTAATTCATATATATAATATACATATTATATTGTGTATATATACAATATATACATTGTATATTTTGTATCATATATAATGATATGAAGAGAATACATCCATGCATTCTATATATGTATAAAATAAAAAAGTCAATATTGCTTTAAAAATGAGTCCTAGCTAAGTAGTATTGCTGCAGTCAATACTAGTGTGAATACATGTAAACAGGAATGAGTTGTATAATAATAAGATAACATGTGTCTTATGGTTTATTTTCAACTTAGTCACTTGTGGTTTTACAGTTAAACTATCCTGCTGCTTTAAATTTAGAGACTTCATTTCTACCCTAAGATTCCCTCTTTTAACACTCTGAGAATGTTACCTATTATTGTTAAATGTTTTAATCTTATATAACCAAGTGGATAAGAGCGTGGACTCTAGAGCTAAACTGTTTAGGTCCTGATCCCACCTCCCCAATTATTAACTATGTAACCCTGGGCAAGAGTCCTCTCCCCTACCTCAATTTTCTCATCTTTAAACTAGGCATAATAGTCTCTATTCATCTGATAGTTGTATTACATGGGTTAGTATTTGCAAAACCCTTACAACAGTACTTAGCACATTAAGTGCTATATAAGATCAGTAGGAAAGTTAGAAAAAAAAAAAAACTAAAAACACTTCACTTTTTTTTTTCCACTAATGTAAAAAAAAAAAAAGAAAGAAAGAAAAAGAAAGAAAAAGAGGAAAAAGCCAGGTCTGTCCTTCTTGGAAGCTCCCAGTAGTTGGGAATTCCACAGTCCCAACTCCAAGAGAGATGTTGAGTGCTTGTTCATTCAATAATTTGAATGCCTACCATATACTAAAACACCATGAATCAGACAAAGCCCCTGCCCTCAAAGGGCTTACACTTGGGTTAGAAATCAGAACTCCACCACTTTTTCATAGACGAGAACACTGAGTTCAGAGTATGGTGCGGTGGCTCATGCCTGTAATCCCAGCAATTTGGGAGGCCAAGGCGGGCAGATCACCTGACATCAGGAGTTCGAGACAAGCCTGGCCAACATGCCGAAAACCCGTGTCTACTAAAAATACAAAAATTAGGCAGGCATGGTGGCAGACACCTGTAATCCCAGTTACTCAGGAGGCTGAGGTAGGAGAATCACTTGAACCCGGGAGGCAGAGGTTGCAGTGAGCCAAGATCACGACACTGCACTCCAGCCTGGGCGACAGAGTGAGACTCCATCACACACACACACACACACACACACACACATATACACACACACGAACACTGAGTCCAGAGAAGTTACCAGAGAAGTTATGCCGTGTTTGCTCAAGGTCACTAGAAGCTAGGTCTTCCCGCAGTTCTCAGTTCGGGTGCCACATTCTCACCTTCTATTTGAAAGACTCTACCTAGCTTTCATGACCTTTTCTTCTTTGCACCCACCATCACCCTCTGCCCAAACCAGGAGCCTAGGTTTCAGAAAACAGTGAACCCCAAAGATAAAGTCACATGCTGGACGTTTTGAACCTTCCCCTGCAAGAAAATGAAAGGTTATTTTATTCTTCCCAGCGTTAACCTTTCCTATGCTATGCCGGAAAGGTTGAGGACTTTTTACATTTTATTATTATTATTATTGTAGAGATTAGGGGTCTCACTATGTAGCCCAGGCTGAGTCTTGAACTCCTGGCTTCAAGCAATCCTCCCACCTCGGCCTCCCAAAGTGCTGGGATTAGAGGGGTGAGACACCGCGTCCGGCCCGTGAGTGTTTTTTTAAAAAGGTTGAGTGGCCTCACTCGGGACCGAAAAGGTGGAGTCCCCGCCCCCGGTGCAGCAGCGAAGACAAACGGAGCCACCTGTGAGAGGGCTGTGGGCGGGGGGACCGGGCCGTGAGGGCCTTGGAACCGGAGGGTGAGTGCCGTTGAGCGCACGCTCAGAGCAGACCGCTAGCAGGAGGCAGGATGTGATAGTCTAAGACCCTGGAAGCTGACGGCCAGAGGGAGGGAAAGGTGGTCACAGAGGAGAGGCAAAGCAACGGGAGGTGGAGGATCCTGGAGGTGACTGCAAGGAGAGTACGCAGTGGCGAGGGGCTGCAGAAGCGGACCCAGTGACTTCTGCGCCGACGCGGTGCAGGCAGGAGAGAGGAAGAGAGGGGAGCGCGGTGGCGCTGCGGGCTGGCCCCGCCGGGGAGGGGGCTGCCATGTCCCGTGAGCGGCCCCCGGGCACCGACATTCCCCGCAACCTGAGCTTTATTGCCGCGCTAACGGAGCGCGCCTACTACCGTAGCCAGCGGCCCAGCCTCGAGGAGGAGCCAGAGGAGGAGCCAGGCGAGGGCGGGACGCGGTTCGGGGCACGATCCCGCGCTCACGCACCTAGTCGGGGCCGCCGGGCCCGCTCAGCACCAGCCGGAGGCGGCGGGGCTCGGGCGCCCCGCAGCCGTAGCCCAGACACCCGCAAGAGAGTGCGTTTCGCCGACGCACTGGGGTTGGAGCTGGCTGCCGTGCGCCGCTTCCGTCCCGGTGAGCTGCCCCGGGTGCCCCGCCACGTGCAGATCCAACTGCAGAGGGACGCCCTCCGCCACTTCGCGCCCTGCCAGCCCCGCGCCCGCGGCCTCCAGGTAGGCGGCGGGGGCACCTCCCCTCCTGGGGACCTCCCTCAGTCGGCCGCAGCAGGCGTGTGGGAGTGGATTTGCCAAAGAGCACCCATCTCCATCCCATCCCTGGGCTTGCGCCTGCCCATCCCTTTTGGGGTACACCATTTGCGAGTGGCTCTAGGCCACCCTGGCAGCGAGGCCGCACTCTGCGGGCGTGGACGCCGGAGTCGGCCTCTGATTGGCCCAGTGCCCCGCTCTGACACCGCCCCCTCTCTCTCCCCTCTCTCCGCCCTGGACTCCCTCCTCCCGCTTCTTCTTTCCTCCAGGAGGCGCGCGCCGCCCTGGAGCCGGCCAGCGAGCCCGGCTTCGCCGCCCGCTTGCAGGCGCAGCGCATCTGCCTGGAACGCGCGGAGGCGGGCCCGATGGGCGTGGCCGGGAGCGCGCGCGTGCTGGACCTGGCCTACGAGAAGCGCGTGAGCGTGCGCTGGAGTGCCGACGGCTGGCGGAGCCAACGCGAGGCGCCCGCCGCCTACGCCGGCCCGGCCCCGCCTCCGCCGCGCGCCGACCGCTTCGCCTTCCGCCTGCCCGCGCCGCCGATTGGGGGCGCCCTGCTCTTCGCTTTGCGCTACCGTGTGACAGGTCACGAGTTCTGGGACAACAACGGCGGCCGTGACTATGCTCTACGTGGGCCCGAGCACCCGGGCAGTGGCGGAGCCCCGGAGCCCCAGGGCTGGATCCACTTTATCTGAGACGAGGCGCCTGTGGCCGACGGCTGAAAACACCAAAGGCACCCGGGGGCTGGGGGACCCGATGTGGCGGGGAGGAATAGGAGAGACCAGGATTGGTGGGGAGCAGTCCAAGGGAGTCAAGCCGGGGAGGGCAAGAAGGGTGGGGAAATCAGGGGCGTGGGGGCGGGGGGGCCGGGGGAGTGGGCGGAACCAACGAAGCTCGGGGAGATCCGGGTGTTAAAAGCTGGTTGGATGTGAGTGAAAGGGACCCAGACTGTGGGAGGAAGGAGACCCGAAACGGCACCGGAGGGATTAGAAAAAAAGGAAAAGAATGGGGATGTGGTGGCTTTCCCTTCAGTGAGTGGGCACTGGGAGAAAGGGAGGAGGTCCATCAGGCTTAGGCAGTTGAAGAAGGTTAAGAACCTTTTGGAGACGGAGGAGGTATGATGTGAAGTAGCCCACCCAGTCGAAGTCATTTAGATTGCTGGCGCATTCCCTCTTCTTACCCACCTTTTCCACCTCAGATCCCCCGTCCTACCCATCCTAGCTTTAACTCAGCCATAATTGCCTTGCTTAATCCCAGGAACCTGGCCACTGCTCCTTGGTCCTTGGCATTAGGACGGGATTCCCTTGTCACCTCTGACAGTTCCTGGCTGCAGTGTCCGGACTGGCTGGGGAGTGATGACAGGTAGCCATCAGAGCTCCAGCCTCCAGGCAGCTTTAGGGATTAAAATGGAGGCCAAAGCAACTCCAGACCTGTTTTTATAGCCAAATACTGTGGTGCCTCAGGGGTTGTACACTCAGGGGCTTCCAGGAAAATGCCAACCTTACCTTTCTGGAGTGCCTTTTAATAACCTCCAAGCACTTTATGGACTGTTTGTCGAGGGACGGTGAATCAGGAAAATGACTATTCTGATTTCCTTTGTCTCCGAAAAGGAATTCCCTGACTATATAACTTTGGGCAAGTTACTTCACCTCTTTGTGCCCCAGTTTTTTCCTTGGAAAACTGGATTTAGGTTAGATGATCTTTTAAGGCTCCTTGTATGATATTTTGTGATCTGTACATGGCAGAGTATAGATTAGAAGCCACATTTTGCAACCTAGTGTTATGGTTCAGAATACATAGTACCCCAAGCGTCTGGCTGGGGCCGAGGATGGGTCCTCCAGTTCTTGGCACAGATGTTCCAGAGCCCACGAAGCATCCCATAACCAACCATCAGCCCATCATCTGCTCCATTTTGCTCTTGCCCTCACAGACTTTCAGCCTCCATGCTCTGAGACAACTGTGGATAGGTACATCTCTTTTGGTGAAAATGATGCTTGAGAACCCAAAAGATTAAAGGAAACAATGTTAGGGGCTTTTGTGGGGATAAAAGATAATGGGTATGTGGAATAGAAACATTTCAAATGAAGAATCAAAACATTTCAGTCAATCCACTTGGTTGTAAAAAAACAAAACAAACAAATAAAACACCTAAGCAACTTGAATAGTAAATGGCACCAGAAGATGGCAGTCTGCTCCATAACCAGAGCAAGTACAGTGGGAAAGCTGGACTCTCATACCCACTCACATTCATGCCTTATGTCTCTCCTCCTGGTTAACCTTAACAGGGGAGTGATTCCTCTGCTGGTTGCTGCTTTTCCTTTTCTCTTACCCTATTCCTAACCTCTTTGCTTCTCTCTTTCTTTCCTTGTGTCTCTCCCTTCTCATCACTTTTTTTCTTTTAACATACAGGGCATTTACCTTCATTTTGTCTATTTCCATTTGTTTCCTTCTTCATTCTTGTTCATCTCTGTTATTCCTTCTCCCTCCAGAAGGGATGGAAACCCTATTTTCTTTTCTCCAAGACTGTGGTTGGTCTACTTTCCTCACTCGGGCTCCTTGACAGTCTTCTAGAAGAGAGAAGGAGGAAAAGAAGCAGTTTCTGATGTTACAAATGAACAAGGATCTCCCAGGTAACCAACTCTCCACACCCATTTCTGTTACTAATTTTTCAAAGAGAAATTTCTGGTTCCCCTTCTTCCTTATCACTGAGTGAAGGGGGACGGGCATGCACATGTGCCCATACATGCATTCAGAATAGAGTGTGGGGGCGGGTGCGATGGATCACGCCTGTAATCCCAGCTCTTTGGGAGGCTGAGGCAGGTGGATCATTTGAGGTCAGAAGTTCAAGACCAGCCTGGCCAACATAGTGAAACCCTGTCTCTACTAAAAATACAAAACTTAGCCGTGCATGGTGACTCATGCCTGTAGTCCCAGCTACTCAGGAGGCTGAGGCAGGAGAATCACTTTAACGGGGAGATGGAGGTTGCAGTGAGCTGAGATTGCGCCACTGCACTCCAGCCTGGGTGACAGTGAGACTCCGTACCAAAAAAAAAAAAAAAAAAGAATAGAATATGGGGCTCGTTACCATGCCCCTCCTGTCCACAACCTTAGTCTTTGAGAAATGATGACTGAAAGAGAGGAACCCTCCAAGTCATTCCTCAAACAAATGCCCATTTAAACATCATCCTTGTGAAGAAAACAGGAAGAATGTCATGTACCACATGGATCACCTTCAGTTCAAAGTTGCAGCAAAGTGAAGAAAGAAACTACTGGAAGCCACCCAGCAATGCACTGTTTAGTCATCAATTAGGAGCCCACGGGAGGATAATAGGGAGACTGGGTGGAGGCTCAGTTTGTAATAATCTCTTGTCTAATGTATGTGTGTCACTGCCATGTTGTATTAACAATAGTGAGGGCTCACATTTACTTAATACTTGTGTGCTAAAATCTGTTTTTTTTTTCTTTCCAGAACTATGACTCGATCATAAAATCTGTTTTGTTTGCATGCATGCCCAAAACAACCCTATGAGTAGAACATTATCATTATCTGTATTTTAGAGATGAGGAAACAGGATCAGAGAAGCTCAGTGATTTGTTCAAGATCACACAGCTAGTAAATGGCAGAAGTAGGATTGTGAACCCAGGGAATCTCCAGAGCCTCTGTGTAACCATGATGTTATATTTTTTTCCTCTTTTAAAACAAAATTAAAAACCTTGCTATAATCTCTTACTATGAAAAGACCATAGTTTCTGATTGTGCTCTGCCTTCCCATCCTGCCAATCTTCTGGACTGCCTTGGAGAAGACGGGGGGCCCCCAAGCTTCATCTGTGACTTAAAGGAGTTTGCTGCTGTCTCCTGTGTCAGTGTCCCATCAGCACGGGACCCCCCTCACCTGCCTACTTACACTCTAGCCTTTCCATACATTGGAATTGTCTCCTGGCCCTAGCCAGCGCTCCACACCTGTTGGTGTGCCACCTCCCTCCCTCTTCCCCCACTGGCCTTGAACAGATAAACCCCCTACTGTTGCCACTAGGTTGGGTCCATGACTGAGACACCTGCTAGAGGGTCTGTGCTTGGGCCTTTTCTAGGAATCCTGATGTTACTGGGTAAGTGCCAACTCTGTGGGCAGAATGCTAATGATAATCCTGTTCCCTAAGCTCTTTCTCTCTGAGAAGTACCCTGGCTCACTCCCCCCAATCTCAGCTTTATAGAACAACATTTTGGTCTTGATTATTCCCATATTGAGCTGCCCCAAGGCTTGGGTAAGCTGTTAGTTTCCCCACTGCCTCAGGGCTGGGTCTGGCTGAGCTACTTTCTTATGCACACAAATAATGGGTGTCTCCTTGGAACCTGACTTTACATAACTATCAGTGCTACCAAACCTTGTAAAATAGGGAAGAAACTAATATTTCTTGAGTGGCTCTCTGGAGAGATTCCCTGCCCTGATGCCTTTGGTGTGTACTCCTTTCCCAGGACTTCAGCACTGAGATTTTCCCAACCCCCTGGCTTTCCCTCGCGTTGGGTTGAGCTGATTCAGCACTACCACAAACCCCACCATCTGCAAATCAACCAAGATTATTCAGTATGCCCTTTCCATCTTGCACTGCTCTTCCAAAACTTCCATCTGTATTTCTCATACCCCCAGTAAGCAAAGCTGAGTGTGCTAGGAGAGAGCTGCATCCACTGCTTTCTCCCAGCCAGGTGCAGTCTAATCTGACACAGGGAACGCTAGAAGTTTAGCGGAATCTTCAGCCACCCTATTAATGTGTCACACATTAGGCGTTATGGTGGAAACTCCTCTGACGGCTCATGACTGTATGAACAGGAGCAATTTGGAATATAACATGTCAGCGGTGCACTGGGAAGTGCTGTAAGAGAAAACACTACCAAGGTCATAGGCTTGGGTCCTTGAGGCAATCCAGCTCTGTTGCCCATTCCTCTCATCCAGACTGCAGGTATCTTCCTACACCTACCTGTCCCATAGCTTCCGTCCTGTTTTGTTTGTTTTTCTTTGTGAATGTAGAAAAACATTTCATTGTGAGCCCTAGCTCCTCGGTTTTCCATCTAACACCTACATTCCCTTGTTTCTAACTGCTATGTTTTTCTGGAGCCTGTTGGGGTCTTTACAGTTTGCAGGTCACAGAATCAGACCTGAAAAGGCTTCTCTTCAGACATCATTGGCTCCAGGCTCCTTTACAGATGAGAACACAGGTCCAGAGGTGAGAAACTACTCTAGCAGGTCATAGAATTTGTTAGTGCAGCTCAAGATGGGACTTAAACTCAGGCCTCCTTATCGCATCCCATTCCCAGGCTAAGAAACAGGTCTGTGCTGGGTGTAGTGGTTCATACTTGTAATCGCAACACTTTGGGAGGCTGAGGCAGGAGCGTTGCTTGAGCCCAGGAGTTTGAGACTTAGCGACATAGTGGGACCCTGTCTCTAGAAAAACTTAAAAAATTAGCTAGACATGGTGGCACACGTCTGTAGTCCCAGCTATTTGGGAACCTGAGACAGAAGGATCGTTTGAGCGCAAGAGTTGGAGGTTACTGAGCTATGATCACACCACTACACTCCAGCCTGGTGACAGTGAGACCCTCAAAAAATATATAAAATAAAAATAAGAAAAGAAAGAGGTCTCTACACAAACCCGTGATTTTCCATGGCAAGGGATAACATCATAAATGTTTCATTTTCTGCTATTAGTTTCCATTCCTTTCCCCATCCAGGCGAAAAAGAGAAACAAAAGACAATGACAGTATTTTCTGTGTCCCCAACTTTGGCACTTTTGTTGATGTTGCTAAGGAGCAGTGACCTTGCTAAAAAGACTGAATAATCCATCCACTGAATAGCTAACCTGGGGAGGAAATGAAAATTTCCTATGTGAATCTCCCCAAATCAATCCTGTGCACTTGGCCCTCAACCCAATAGTATTGTGCCTCACTTCGACTTCCATGGGCAACTGCCCTCCCTTCTGGACATAAAACCTCACATTTTAAATAAAGTTGAAATATGAAAAGAAAGTATGTAATAAGATATTCAGAAGTATTGTGTGTTTGGGGCTAAGGGCAGCAAGAGACTCAGAAGCAAGATTCCCTCCTTGACTCAATTTCTTGGTCACCTTGTTTCTTTTTGCGTGTGTGTCCAGAAAAATTTAGTAAGTTTGCTTATAATTATTATAAAGTTGAACCACTGAAACATTTTGACTTGCATTAATGCTTTACTTCCCCACCCACATTTTTATTAAAAATTCACACACACATGAAAATTGAAAAACTGACAATACCTGACTTCTGTCTCCTATTCTGCTCACAGTCATATACTTAGGTACCTTTTGACCCCATGGGGGAAAAAAATCTAACATTCAGAACTGCCAATAACAGGAAGCAGAGACTTTTTTTTTTTTTTTTTTGAGAATGAAATTTCCCCGATCATAATGGATTCTTAAGTACATTCTTCACGCATGCAGCATGCTAACTGGATGTCTTTTGACATAGGTGTTACACGTGTGGCATGGACAACACACAGGTTGGTGTCTTCAAAAGGCCAACCAGATAGGCTTTGCTTGCCTCCTGCAAAGCACCACTAAGCTGCACTCTGGAAGGGCAAATCTCTTTTAAAGTCCTGAGCAATTTCTCACACCAGATGCTGAAAGGGAAGTTTGCGAATCAGTTCAGTAGATGTCTGATAATGTCTAATTTCAGGGAGTACCACAGTACCAGGCCTGAAATGACGAGGTTTCTTCACCCTCCAGTAGAGGGCGCACCCTGTGAGCAGTTTTTGTGGGAGGTCGGGGGGAGTGTGTGTGTGTTGTTTTTTGGGTTTTTTTCCTGAGACAGAGTCTTGCTGTCGCCCAGGCTGGAGTGCAGTGCACGATCTCGGCTTACTGCAACCTCAGCCTCCCCAGGTTCAAGCGATTCTCCTTGCCTCAGTCCCCGAGTATCTGGGACTACAGGCACGCACTGCCACACCCGGCTAATTTTTTTTTTTTTTTTTTTTTTTAGTAGACACGGGGCTTCACTATGTTGGACAGACTGGTCTTGAACTCCTGACCTCAAGTGATCTGCCCGCCTCGGCCTCCCAGAGTGCTAGGATTACAGGCGTGAGCCACTGTGGCTGCCCAATTTTTGTTGTTGTTGCTTATTTGTTTGTTTGTTTGAGACGGAGTCTTGCTCTGTCTCCCAGGCTGGAGTGCAGTGGCGCCATCTCAGCTCACTGCAACCTACGCCTCCTGGGTTCCAGCGATTCTCCTGCCTCAGCCTCCAGAGTAGCTGGGATTACAGGTGCGTGCCACCACGCCAGGCTAATTTTTATATTTTTAGTGGAGACGGGGGTTTCACCATGTTGGCCAGGCTGGTTTCGAACTCCTGACCTCAGATGATCCACCCGCTCGGCCTCCCAAAGGGCTGAGATTACAGGCGTGAGCCCCTGCGCCGGACGCCCAGTTTTTGTTTGTTTGAGACGGAGTCTGCTCTGTTGCCCAGGCTGGAGTGCAGTGGCGCGATCTCGGCTCACTGCAAGCTCGGCCTCCCGGATTCACACCATTCTTCTGCCTCAGCCTCCGGAGTAGCTGGGACTACAGGCGCCCGCCACCACGCCCGGCTAATTTTTTATGTTTTTAGTAGAGACGGGGTTTCACCGTGTTAGCCAGGATGGTCTCGATCTCCTGACCTCGTGATCTGCCCGCCTCGGCCTCCCAAAGTGCTGGGATTACAAGCGTGAGCCACCGCTCCCGGCCGTTTTTGTATTTTTTTTAGTAGAGTCGGGGTTCTGCCATGTTGGGCAGGCTGGTGTCGAACTCCAGGCCACACGTGATCCGCCCGCCTCGGCCTCCTGAAGTGCTGAAATTACAGGCATGAGCCATCTCGCCCGGCTGGAGCAGCTTTTGTAGCCAGTTGCTTCCTGGGTGCTTTACCTCCCGTCAATTTGTGAGCAGTCTGCTTTGTGTGAGACTGTGAGAGAGACCTCCTTACTTACTCCCCTTCTTCAGCTAGAGCTCAGGGAGCTAGAAATGGCCCTGGTTAGAGAGCTACCTTATTTCCTAAAAGTCCTATTCTCTTTCTACTGGAGTGCCCTCTGGCTATGCAAACGCCGAGAGGAAGGATTTTTGGAGGACTCAGGCAGGCCTGACGTAAGACACTCCCAACGGGATCTTATCATCATTTTGGGTAGTGGGAAATTTACCAAGGCCCAGCTCTTCTCTGGAACCCAGTACCAACTGCTTTAACCAAGAGTTAAAGGGAAGAGCTTGGGGAAAGCCCTGCGTTTCTCCTTGGGTGGGGGAATCCTTCCTTAAGGAGGCCATCTGAATTACATTCTGCTGCTGCTTTTTGTTTTTTGTTTTTGTTTGTTTTGTTTTGTTTTTTTGAGACGGAGTCTCGCTCTGTCGCCCAGGCTGGAGTGCAGTGGCGCGATCTCGGCTCACTGCAAGCTCCGCCTCCTGGGTTTACGCCATTCTCCTGCCTCAGCCTCCTGAGTAGCTGGGACTACAGGCGCCCGCCACCGCGCCCGGCTAATTTTTTGTATTTTTTTAGTAGAGACGGGGTTTCACCGTGGTATCGATCTCCTGACCTTGTGATCCGCCCGCCTCGGCCTCCCAAAGTGCTGGGATTACAGGCGTGAGCCACCGCGCCCGGCCTTTTTTTTTTTTTTTTTTTTTTTTTTTTTTTAAGACAGAGTCTTACTCTGTGGCTAGGCCAGAGTGCAGTGATGCAATCTCGGCTCACTGCAACCTCCGTCTCCC